AATTTTGATACTTCCGGAAAAAAAGAAAAAAGATTGATTTCTCTTAAAAAAATTCTTTAAATAAAAAAAAGATAAAATAACATGGTCACAATAAAAGAATTAAAATAAAAACTCTAGTGACAATCACAAAAATAATACTACGTAAAATATTCACGACATATCTTTTCTTAACCACTTCACTATACTTATACTTTCTAAAACAAATATTGAAAAGTCTCATAATACTATAAGATAAAAGTAAAATAAATAAAAATGTTAAATACAAGCTGAGAATTTTGATTGGTGCAATTTAAAATTAAAAAAAAAATCAACGTATTACACATAGCTTCAATTTCTCTATTTTTTTACATCAAAATAATTTTCTTAAAAGTGATAATTAAAAATTAACGTACCATCCAAGTTTTTTTATATTAAGTATTTTTAATTTAATATTATTTTAAAATTTATTTTGATAATTTATTTTTAATTTTGTTTTTATTTAATATAACAAAATATTTATTAATAATAATAGTAATTTTTTAATTTTATTAATTTAAAAAAATCCTACAATATTTTTTATTTAAAAATTTCATTATAATTTAACAATACTCATAAAAGAATCATTAATAATTATAATTCTTTTCACTTCAAAATTAATTTAAAAAATTATAATTAGTAGGTTCGAGTAGCAAGACCGATCAATGACAATTCCTTCACGTCGATAACTTGCCATCATCATGTCATTATTGAGAGGAATCATGCATTGTTCTTAGAGTTGTAGACAAAGACTACAAATTGCAACTAATGAGGTCACATTCAACGTTGTTTGAGGAAACATGTGGATTTTACCTAGACAAAGATTATGACATTCTATTCAAATATTCAAACTAGAACATACGGTTTTTTTTTAGAGTTATTACTTTTTTTTATTATTTCCCTTAAAATGATAATTAGTAATTATAATGTGTTTGAAGATACCAAAGTACTTGTAGTGCAAAATCACATTACATGATGTTTGATCCCCAATTGTTTTTATCAATGACATCATATCTAAAGATTAAATTGGACATTTAGTTTTCATAAAAAAATGGACAATTGATTAATAAGTTAATTAAAATTAGTATAATTTGTAATAAAATTTTATATATTTAATTTATTGTTAACAATTTGAACTCAAAATCATTAATTAATTAAGTTAGAATTACTTTCTATCACTTGATTGATTTATTCACAATATTAAATATCCCAATTGTTAAAACAACATTCATAGAATTGACACTAACAAATAATTTTATTTTTATGATATTATTTTTAATTTTTTAAATTAATATTTTTGTCTATAACGATAATTAAATAATAACATAATTAATTAAAATATTATCACGTATTAATTATTTGTGTAGTTACATTAAGTAAAAGAGGCAAACATCGAAACATAAAATAAATAATTCAAAGAATATAAAAAAAAGTTATAAAATCATAGGAACTAAACATTTATTTAAATCTATTTTTAGTTACTAGACATAACATCACAAATCTGATAGGTTCATACAAAATAGTATTTTAATTTTGTATAAAAAAATCAGTAGTTTAATCTTTTAATTTTTTTTATTTTGATGCTTAATCCATCATATTAAATATTTTTAATTAGCATGAAATATATGCATTAAATATTTGACTATCTTAATTATTGAAATTAAGTCACACTCCACTATGCTTCAAGAAACATGTGCTGCGAATAAACAAAAACTTGACCATCTTAATTATTGAAACAAATAATACATAGTCTTGCCACCGATAAAACCGTAAAATTTATATCTAATGCAATATTACGTTATGCAAACAAATCTTATCACTTTTAATTACCATATTACAGTGATAATCGATCATTTTATGCAAAGTTTTCGCAAAATATATACATATATATAATCTTATTACATAATAATCTCACACGAGAAGATCTGTTTTTGTTATTAATGAAGAAAAACATATTAATATTTTTTATTTTATCAATTAATGACAAATTATTATATAATTATTTTTAAAATAGTAAAAAATAATTTTTAATTAATGAATAGCGTAAATATTTTTATATTAACAAAATATCAAAATTAAAGTCCAATATAAAATGAAAAGATTCCTGTAATGAAAAAGACAAAATAGAATCTACCGTTATATCGACAAATTTTCATATTCTGGTCAAAAAATGATAAAGTAATTGAAATTAATGAGCTCACTTTTCGGTGCACCGATTTGGTTGTATAAAATAAAACGAGCTTTTTAAGATGCTTGTGTAAGAAAGGAGTTAAAAAGATTTTTTTTATTAAAAAAATGTTATTTTAAAATCATAAAAATACGCAATAATAAAAATTATTAATACTTCTGAACATAAATTTTAAAAATAATTAAGAAGATAATATTTATTATTATTTAATTTAAATTCTTGAAGTGGTGCATAAAAATATAGTAAGAAAATATTGTAATAAAAAAAGGAAAATGGTAAAGCATGAGTGTAATGCAGAGTCACATGTGAGTGAGGAAGCAGAACAGAAGAAAATGCAGCAGGTGCATGTGGATTGTCTTTGTTCTTATGTGATATTAAAAGAAAGAAAAGAAAGGCATATAGAGGGAGGCAGGTGAATAAAGACAAAATGGTCCTTGGGATTGACCAACTTGTTCTATTTTTTTATACCTCTTTATGACTTTTTACCTTTAATCTCCTCTCCTGGACCATTTCATTTCATAACTTCCATGCCTCTGAATTTCTAACTGAAACTATATTGCATGTGACCCCAATGGTATCTTAACCAACTTTGCATGTGACATCAAATCAATCTTAACAAACTTAAACAGTTTAATTATTGATTAAGGATATTACTTATTTAATATACCCCCAATATTGTATCAAATATTTAATTTATTCATATACTTTTTTTTATTTATATTCTTTTAAATCTTGTAATTTTATCTTAGTCCGGTGTAGTAAGATAAAGTTTCTAATAAGAGATCTAGATTTTTGGTAGTGAATTTTTCACTGAAGTAGATCTAGTTTATATTTATTATTTTTAAATTTTAATAATTGACATCTTTTGTAATAATAATATTATTATAAAGATTTTTTTTTCTAAAACAAACTGTTTCCATGTCATAAAAGAAATGAGAGAATATTATTGTCTTTATTTAAAGATTATTTTTAACTATTTTAATATTTTTTGTTATGAAAAAGTAAAGGAGTAGAAGAAAAGGGAAAAAAAAAAAGATTAATACAAACTGCTCATATAAAACAACTTAAAAATATAAAATTAAGAGAGTTTATAAAGTCTCTCTCTTTTCATCTAAAAAAGTGAAAAAAAACATTCTATAAGTTTTTCTATTTTAAAAATATAAATTGCTCTTGTAACAATTTGAAAGAGTTTTGAATTGCTTTCTAAAATAAATTTTAGAAGGCAGTTTCTTTTTTAAATATTTCTATATTTCTAAATGATATCTATAAGTGTATAATTAGAGAAAGGATAGGGTCTTAGTTAATATAAAATGACACTGGGCTTAGGAGAAGATGTATCTTACAGAGAGTGAGTAAGATATGGATTTGTTAACGGTGTAAAAGAAAAGGGATATAGATTTGGGGAAGTAAATTAATAAAGGGTGATAGATGTAACCTAAGTAAGGGATAATGTAAAATAAAGAGAAGAAGAACGTAATGTGAGGAAGTAGGGTCCTATGCAACAGCAGGGGATGATGGCCTTTCGTTTTCAAGGTTGGCATTAGCATCAGCAGCAAAAGCCAATAGCCGCATGGCCTGTGCCCCAAGCTCTGTCTCTTTCTTTGGGGCTTCATTTAGGTTGCCAAGTGTTGCTTTATCATACCCCCTTTCTTCTAAATTCCCATTTGTCTCGTCTGAATCATTCACTCTAGTATATGGAAGAATCACACTTTTTCTTTTCTTTTATTTGCTTTTGTTAATCTTAATTCGAAAATAATGCAATTTTCTCTTATCATTGATCCTACGGTGTTATAGATTGCTTTTTCGGAAGCAACCAATGAAAAGTGTCTCCGACAAAAAAAGGCGAAGCAGAATCTGATACATACCCATAAAATGGTTTCCAAAGTTTTATCACAATTTAACGGTGCTGTTTGTATTCCCACACTACTCAAACTTTGTGTAGAATATAAACTTTGTCAATTGAATATGATTATACTTTATTTCAAATTATGATAACCTTTTCTAATAACAAAATTGCATCTCTACACGTTTACTGTAATAGAATAAACTTAGCAGCCAAAAGTAGAATAGATAGTCAAGTGTGAATGTCTTTAGGATTGAGGTAAAGTGCAGAAAAATATGGAAAAGTGAGTAACAAGACCAAAATTGAGGCAAATAAAAGAGTGAAATGTGTCAAAATGTAATCCCTCTAGATGGAATGAAACACGCCAACGGACTTTGTATACAACGTGGCAGATTTATTCTAATTTGTCATCTGATTTTGTAGCCAGTTGTTACTGACAAGTCAAATATGCAATGCTGAAGGCTGAACAAACTATGATATATAAATGAATGTGAAAATGATTTTCAGATAACCCCTTTAAAAGTTAACTCTTCCTAATTCATATTAGATAAATGATTAAATGATGTCGGTTTAAGAAATTTACATATTATCTAAAATTATTTCAATAATAGTTTGTTAAAATGTGGTAACTGTTTTTAATTTATATTTTTTCAGATACTTGTTAATGAGATTTTTAAATTATGCTTACCCTAATTAATTTTATTACCTTATGTCTTCCGAGAATATATATTAAATAATAAAAGTAACATTTATTATCCTAACAGGAGTTGAATCAAGTAAGGAAAATTTCTGAGTCATACCAGCACGTGACGTTGTCTTAAATATGATTATAATAACAAAAAAGTAATGAAGTAAAAAAATATTATTCTTACATAATTAAGTAAAACACATTTTAAAATATTAAATATTTTTATTTGATTGCTTAAATATATAGACAAAATCCAGAAAATTATTACGTAGGGTCTCTCCCTAACATAACCCTCTCCACAACTAACAACAACCCCTTCCCAGATATCCTTCGTGGTTGATTTTTGATTGCGTCAAAAAATAAAAGTGAAAGTCCCTTTTTTCATTTTTTAATTTATTTACCTAATCCAATAACAAACCATAAAAGGGGAGGAGTAAAAATTTAATCTTTAATATATTCTTTTTTTAATTTTTCATTTTTTTTGTCATGGATTTTGCTTCTTTTTAAAGTTGAAAGGAGGGGCCATCATCCTCCTTGTTCACCCGCCGCCTGTAACGAGAGAGAGAGAGAGAGAGAGAGAGAGAGAGAGAGAGAGAGAGAGAGAGAGAGAGAGAGAGAGAGAGAGAGAGAGAGAGAGAGAGAGAGAGGGTACATTTTGATGCTTGTTAACCATAGAGCAAAACCAAAAGGCATTCATTTTTCTTCATCGTGATCAAAGTGCAAAGATTTAAGCTTTCTGTAATTGCTCTTGGTATATTTTGAGTTATATATATAGATATATATGTATATGTAAAATTAGAGAGAAAATCAGAATCCCTGAAAGATTGAGCCAAATTTAGAGGCAGCAAGAGGGTAATTAAGTGTCTTTGTTGGGGGGCTATAAAGAGAAAGGGTTTAGGGGCCAGACAGCAACCCAGAAGCTACAAAAGGGAGGGGTTCACAGAAAAGCAGAAAAGGAAGAACCTTGTAAACCCCGTCATTGTGAACAAGGTTCCTCATTATTCTCTCCCTTGTGGGGTTCTTCAAAGTTCCCACCTTTTTCTATTTTTTCTTATCTTTGCTTATGATATCTATGTACTAGTAATGTCTGTCACTACCCATTTACCTATCTATCTTATCCGCACCACCCCACTTTCTGTTTCATGCTAGAAACCGTCAATCTTGCATTGTTTTGTACTGTTGTTGTCACCATTCATAGTTTTATCAGAGGCCTATAAAGGGTTAGTGGGTCTCAGTATAAGTAGTGGTGTGATATTGGCACTATAACCACATCTGTCTGTCTTTTGTTTATGGTCCTAGGTTGTGTTTGTGTGTGTCTGTGTTTGTTCTTGTTTTCTCTTAGTACTCACTACTCACTTCTTGGGTTGGTTCTGCCTTCGTGCATTTTCCCTGGGACAAGCAGCAGAGGAACAATTTCACTATCCAACGTAAGGGGAGGCAAAGATGAAGTACGTGTTGGTGACAGGTGGTGTTGTCAGTGGACTTGGGAAAGGTGTCACTGCAAGCAGTATTGGACTTCTCCTCAAGGCTTGTGGTCTTAGAGTAACTTCTATCAAGATTGGTAATTTTTCTTCATGTTTTATGTGTTGAAGTTTCACTACCTCTCCCTTTAATTCTACAAGGAAATGCATTTATGTGTTTTTGGATGTAAGAGAGCGAGTTTGTAAATGAATTTGCCATTCAGTTGGTTGCTTCACTGAATGGCCAACTTGGCTGTTTCCTTTGGATGGAAAATCTTGTCGAACAAGTTTGTTTTTTTTTTTTCGTGTATGATTTGCACAGGGACCGGTTTATTGGTTTTGAGCTGATGTGTTTCGTTTTTTGATGTTTTTCTTCTCTGATTTTGGAGGATTCTTGATCCTAGTGCATTGTGTTTTTTTCTCCCAAGTGTTTTCTTCTTTTATGTTGATGAATAAAAAGGAGCAGTACCAATTATTTGCTCAGTTTTTCTCTTCCCTCCTTTAAGCAATCAAAATCCTGTCTTTCTATAGTATTATTATAAAGTAATGTTGTACATATATTTTTTATAATTTTGTTTGAATTTTTCTATCATTTGCAGATCCTTACCTCAACACTGATGCTGGAACAATGTCTCCTTTTGAGCACGGGGAGGTTTTCGTCTTAGATGACGGTGGTGAGGTAAATAGTTTAAGTTTTCTACCATGAGGATGCCAATTACTAATTTCTTTTCCGAAACATGCTAAAAGTCATTGTGTGAATTCGCTTATGACGTGTTTTCCCCTGTTCTTTTCAATTTCTCATTTTACTTTAAATACAAGTAAATTTATTGTGTTTTTAAACTGATTTTTTGTTATAATAACAAAGGACATCTGAAATTGTTTTTTTCAAAGTTTCAGTCTGAAATTTTTATTCTTTTTTTTTTTTTTCCGTTTGTTGAAGGTTGACCTTGATCTTGGAAACTATGAACGTTTCTTGGACATCAAATTAACCCGTGACAATAATATCACTACTGGAAAAATATATCAGGTGAGCCAAGAGTGCACAGCGTTTAAATGCGTTCTTTGTTGTTTTTGACCAGGCATGCCTACTGTTTCTTATTGATTTTTTTTATTATGATTATCTGTAGTCTGTTATTGAGAAGGAAAGAAGAGGAGATTATCTTGGGAAGACAGTTCAGGTTGGTTTAAACACACTGATTTTTCCTCTTTTAAGACATTTGTAATAGTTATTGGAGCCCTGATTTTCATTTCCTCACTGCTTTGTTTGTAGGTTGTTCCACACATAACAGATGCCATCCAAGAATGGATAGAGCGTGTAGCAGAGATACCAGTTGATGGGAAAGAAGGGCCAGCTGATGTTTGTGTCATTGAATTGGGTGGAACTATAGGTAAGTAACACTTAGTGAAAATATTAATCAATAGTAAGGTAGTACGTGATTTTCAGTACTATTATAATTTATAAATCTACTATCTATTCAAACTTCTCCATTTTTTAGTTTTAAAAATATGGATAGTTAGAAGTAGAAATTGAAAATGACATTTTTTTGGCACATTGTGAGAAATAGTGTTTATTTTATCAATATTGTGAAACATACATTTAAAATAAATTTTCTTTAATGCAGGGGATATTGAGTCCATGCCTTTTATTGAAGCGCTTGGCCAATTTTCATACCGTGTAGGTAATGTTTATCATTCAAACCCTGTACTCTCTCTCTCTCTCTCTCTCTATATATATATATATATATATATATATATATTTGGTTAGTGCTGTGCTTCAGTAAATCAGACTTGCTAATTTTATTTTTCTCTTTTCTTCTTTTTTGTAGGCTCTGGCAACTTCTGTTTGGTTCATGTCAGCCTGGTTCCTGTTCTAAATGTTGTTGGTGAACAGGTATACTGTAAAATATGTTATCAGTGAAACATTTCTAATATATTTTTTCATAGGGAACAGATAATAAATAAATATATATTCGAGTAATACAAGTGTAAAATTGAAATTCTAAGAGCATGTTTGTTTGCAATTTTTAAAAGAATTTTCTCTTTTTAAAAACTAAAAATACATGTATTTTTAATTTTTAAAAAGAGAAAACTCTTTTAGAATTTGCAAACAAACATACCCTAAGTTTCTGTTTATTGGTCCTTAATTAACTAAATGGAATATTTTTGTTGCATCTTTCAAGTGGTACCATCAGCACTTAATTAAACTTTTAATCTGTAGAAAACAAAGCCAACTCAGCACAGTGTTCGTCAACTTAGAGGATTGGGTTTGACTCCTAATCTTCTTGCTTGCCGCAGTTCAAAGGTATGTCTCTTGTCGTCTTTTCTTATTTTGTTGTTTCTATTAATGAATAAAAAAATTATATTTTTACTTGTCTTTTTACCAGGAACTTGATGACAATGTCAAGGCCAAACTTGCTCAATTTTGTCATGTGCCGGTAATATGACATTAATGTTGACAACTTTGAGTTTTCTTATCACAAGAGCCTTACTTGTATTCTTAAAACATACTTTTGTATCTGCAGCTGTTGAACATACTTACTCTCCATGATGTTCCAAATATTTGGCATATTCCTTTGCTATTGAAAGTAAGCAATTCTTTAGTCTTTTTTAATCCCCTTTCTTTGTTTTTTTTCTAGGACTTTGGAAACCATATTCATGAAGTTTAATTTGTTAATATAATTATTTGACTAACTTATTGTTTTCATGTTGAATTACATGCCTGTCATTAAGTGGTTTAATTAATGCAAGATCCTGAACTTTTTTCTTTTGAATTTGTTTTCTTTAACTAATAGAAACAGAAGGCACATGAAGCAATCCTGAAAGCATTAGACCTCCTCAGGTTTGTACAACAACCTCATTCTTTTTTGGTGTATAACCTCCTCCCTTTCCCAAAAAAATCCTAATTCCTTATGGAAGTTATGGTTTGATGTTCTGAAAATGTATTGTTAGTTATGCTACAGCTGTTAGCTTAAGTGTTTGTGTCTTTCAACTGATGTTCTTGTTATTTGCAGTGTTGCTGCTGAGCCCAAATTGAAGGAGTGGACCGCTAGGACAAAAGTTTATGACAAATGTCAGGAAACTGTAAGTCTCAAACATCTTGAATATAGCATTGGAAAAGAAAAATCTGCGTATGGGTTGATATTGTTTTCCCTGAATGGTGCCAAGTGATGAGCTTGAAACTGTTATGTTCTTTACAGGTTAGAATTGCAATGGTGGGAAAATACACTGGCCTTTCAGATGCCTATCTTTCTGTTCTGAAGGTAACTTACTCTTAAATTTGTTATATGTGGTAATTTCCAGTACTTTGTGCATTCTCTGAAACTTGTGTTTTTGGTACGTGAAGTTTTTACAAGGCATTAAACTGAACCCTGGTATACCATTAGCTAATTACTTGTTTTTTCGTACAGGCACTTTTGCATGCTGCTGTTTCCCAAAACCGTAAACTTATTGTGGACTGGGTTCCAGCTGGAGATCTTGAAGATGTTACATCTAGAGAGGTGATTATCTCTTTGTTGTGTACTGCATTTGTTAGTTAACTTGTTGATTTTTATGTTTGTTATGCAACCCTCTGACAATTAATGTACTACTGCAGGATCCTGATGCATATAAAGCTGCTTGGAGTCTTTTGAAGGTTTTCCTACTATTTTTTGACTAAATGTCTTTGTTCAAAACTCTGATTGCAGTGCTAATTTATATGTATTTAAATGTGAGAGATTATTTACTGGTGTTTCCTAAATTGACATATGCTGCAGGGTGCTAATGGGGTTCTAGTTCCAGGAGGTTTTGGTGATAGAGGAGTACAAGGGAAAATTCTTGCTGCTAAGTATGCTCGAGAACATAAAGTTCCATTTCTCGGCATTTGCTTGGGGTTGCAGATTGCTGTCATTGAGTTTGCACGATCCGTTCTGGGTCTGCATGATGCTACAAGCACAGAATTTGATCCTGACACCAAGACCCCTTGTGTCATATTTATGCCAGAAGTATGTTCTCTTGTATTCATGTACTGCATGAGTTGATAATATTGTTCCCTTGTAGATCATTATTAAGCTAGTTTGTATTCTATTCCTAGGGCTCAAAGACTCATATGGGGGGAACCATGCGTCTTGGTTCAAGGAGAACTTACTTCCAAGTTACTGACTGCAAATCTGCAAAATTGTAAGATTTCAAAACTTAACTTGAGCTTTCTTACATATGTGAATGGTATCCACTTAAAATATTTATTTCCTTAAGCCAAAAAAGAAAAACACTGTCACTTATATGATAAAATATTAATACAAGATGGTAGCTCATGGATCTCCATCTCCATATCTGATGCATTAATTTGGAATTTCTTTTATAGGTATGGTAATGTAAGCTTTATTGATGAGCGACATCGGCATAGATATGAGGTAAATTGTCGTAGTAAGATGAAACTTTCTTTTGGGTAAAGATGCAACCATAGTCAGTAACAATAATTGTTATGCTGTACAGGTTAATCCTGACATGATATCACAGCTAGAGAGTGCTGGTCTATCTTTTGTTGGCAAAGATGAAACTGGGAGGCGTATGGAGGTGTGTCTTTACGTGAAACAGTATTGACATGGATCTTAAGATTTACCCAAAATTAAAAATTATAATTTTGTTAATTATGTGCATGAGTGCAGATAGTGGAGCTGCCTGGCCATCCTTTTTTTATTGGCGTTCAGTTTCACCCTGAGTTTAAGTCCAGACCAGGGAAACCTTCTCCCCTCTTCTCAGGTATTTTCACTAGAGAGTCATTGCCAATCATCTTTTTCTGTAGAATAAGCTATTAATTATATTTTTGTCCTTCAAATTTGTCATTGGGATTTCTGTTTGTTATTATATTCACGTCTGTTAAGGATGCTTCTTTTTAATCTTTGATGGTAAAGTCTCCCATCTATTATCTTCACATGTCTGCATTAGTCAGATATTTTAGTCTGCGATTTTAAAATCCATAGCCACTGACTGCAAAAAATGATTCCTTTTAGTTCACTTTATTTTTCCATGGTCGTTTTGCACAAAATAGGACTAAAGTGAAAGATGTTTTGCAAAGTCAGGGACTAATGGAGAACTTTTGAAATCTTAAGAACTATAATGTCCAATCCACACAATCTCATTCTAAAATGAATCATATTGATATCATGTGGCGATGTTGAGCAAAAGAGGTGAAGACTGAATATAACTGCCTGATTGACAAAACAGGACTAATAGCAGCAGCATGTGAACCAAGGAGGACAGTTGTGCCACTGCCAAGTAATGGCCATGCCAAGTTAACAAATGGAAAATATAATAATGGACTCTCAGCAGCCCTACTGAAAGCACACAAAAAGGGAAATGGTTTTAAATCATCCAATGGTTCCTTAAATGGTGTATATACCAATGGCAATGGTGTGTATGTGGATGGTAGTTGTTAGTGATATGAATGTTTGGTGCATTCTAATAATTGTGGTGTAACTATATCCAAGGACATCCTTCTTGTCCTCGGTTGCTGTGTACAGTTAGTGAGTGGATAGGTCTTTTAGCTAGGGACTTGTCTTCAGAATGAAACAAATTTTTGAGTCTAACAGCTTTTTATGTTTCCTAGTGCTGTTGGGTTGTGCTGTGGTGTGGCAGTTGCAGCCACCATTGTTTTCACCCTTTGGTCAAAACATTGGCCAAAGCTTCACTCACTTGATCATGCCAAATATTTGGGCTATGGTGGCTTTTCAGTACTATTTAGGAATTTTCTTCTATGTATACAGGCTTCAGGTGTAAGATTGCAGTGTCTTCTTTTCTGAGTGCCCATTAATGTAAACTCTTGTGTTATGATGAACATTCAAGTTTAATTTTGTTTGCTACACTTGCTTTGATATCTTTTTCCCCCTTTCTTCTTTAATTTAAATAATCAGATGCTGTATACCACTCTCCCTCCCCACTCCAAAAATATGTTTGCTTGTAAGATCACTAAAAACCAAAGAGTTTTGTTAAAAGGCATTTCTAGCACCGGTTAAATGATCAATAAATATAGTTTTAATAAGAAAATTTGCCAGATGCATTGAAAATCATTGGAAGAATGCATTGATAATCTTTTTGAAAAACAACTATTACTTGTTTCCTTAATCAATAGCTTTAGTATTTTTCAAAAGTACAATAATAATGCAATTGAATCCTTTATTAGAAATATGTAATTTGAGGTTCTACTGGCATATAAAAAAGAAGGATGAAGGTGTTGCACACTCTTATGTACAAAATTAAATAAGTTTTTTAATGTGGTTGAGAACGTAATAATAACTTGTATTTATTATAACGTGAAAAATAGTATAAGATTGCACTAAAAATATTTTTTTAATTTTTAAATAAAATTTATTGATCTTTAATACAAAACTCTATAGCATTTTAAGACTATATTATTTTTTTACATATCTATCTTTCATTGTTGAATCTTTATAAACTCTTAAAAATCAATGTAATAATAAGAATAGCCTTTAATTAAGAGTAAATTTAAGATATTGTAGATTTGTCAGTTAAAATTTAAAAATTAATGTATTAATAATTTTTATTTAGTTAATTTTTTTATATTATATATTTATTTCTTATTGTTTATTTTCCGAATAAAAACAAAATCCTGATAAAAAATGTGTTTTGAAATTGGTCTATAAAAAAATATAAAAATAAAAATGTTGAATTATAAGATGTTTTTGTTTGAATAATTTGGTCTAGGAAACAGCAAAAGGTCCATACTACTAATAGATTGCACAAATTCCAAAATCTGAAGTGCATTGGGACCCATCTGGATTCCAAACATCACTTAGGTTTTTGTCTCAACTCACTCTGACTAACTGCTAAAGGATTCTATTCTAAACAAATAAAACTAACGCCATGAATCATCATACATTGAACCTCAACGCAAAGCATACATATATTCAGTGTCATTTAATGCTCTTTCTTATTTTAAAAATAACTCTCAAAATATATATTTATTAGAGTGAACAATAAAGATAATGATTTTACTAACTTCACTTTTTAAGATAATGGCAATTTTGTCACTCACATATTTTCAAATTTTCGCACAATTAAAATACTGTAAAAGCAAACCAACAAGATTAAATAATTGACTATGACAAATTTGTATAGAATATTTTTATCTAAAAAAAATTCTACTTAATATTCGTCAAACAGTTAATTTGCCACTGTATATAAATTAGGGTTCTTATTCTTCCAAGTGAGAGATAACTACTCATGTAGTGGTTTACATTTTTCTCATTTTGTATTTTTTTAGCTTTTATGTAAAGTCCAAACAATAGTTTTTTCTTTTTAGTTATTTATTCATTCAAAAATAATTTATTATTATTTTTTCTGGCATGACGAACTAACCAATATTACTTATGATGTTGACTGAAGCTACTTTTACATGTTGAATCATGAACACACTTTGCTATCGTACGTATTTCAATAAAATATTCTCAAATCACTTTCTTTTATATTTTATTACATTATTTATCACATCTTATTTTCCCTTTTTCACACTGTCATAGGTGTGAATCTATGCATTTATATGTCCATGTACATGTTTTAAATATAACTTATTTATACGAAGTGACAAAGAGACTTGTCTAATTAATCAAATTGTAATAAACTAAATGATGATAATCTATGACTTAAAAATTGTGGCTACCGTTAATTTTCAAAATATTTTCAGTGGTAGTGTAGTCCATAAGTCCATTCTGATGGCTCTCAAAGATATTAATGCTTAAATGGTGGGTCATTTCATTTTAAAAGAACTTTCTTAATGTTAATTTTAATCAGCGATTCTTGGAATTAATTATGATTGAGTTAAAAATAAAATACAATTTAGTTCGTAACTTATAAGCTTTTTGATCAAAATAAATAAATAATAAGTGGTTGGTTTAGTTATGGATGAATATATTATGTGTGAATAGCTGCTATATGGTTACATATTTAAATTTTAATTATGCTAATTATTTATGAACAACTGAAATGAATATGCTTGTGAATCTTCCAGTTTTACTATTGCCTTTGACACGATCGATTTTGATAAGATTTATCCATAATGCTTGGATTATTATATGTTACAGAATAAAAATTCTATAACGTTTAGTAATATTAGATCTATACAAAGTGATAAGTTAGAATGTGCGATGGTCTCAACAAATGGAGATTGTGATTTATGATTTACCATCGACTTAAGTGAAATTGTTGTTTCTCCACGATGTGTTAGGAGTTTATTGATATTTTAAGTAAATAATAACAATAATTTGAGTATTTTGAATTGAATATAATAAATATAGACAGTATGATTTATTATAAATGAATATCTATTTTTTTTACCTTTCTTATATTTTTTAAAATTAAAAATGGTAAGTATTTTTTAATTTACACACATCTGTTAAAATATTTCACATGTATGTGCGTGTAAAATCATACTATTATTTGTTTTGGTAAATTTTTGACACATGATTTTATGTTATATGTAAAGTGTTCGGAGGGTAAATGTACCCATTGAGAAGTAATAAAGATTTCTTAAATTAAGTTTTTAAAATATCATCCCACAAGAATTGGTTTTCAATTATTAAGAATTTCTTAATTCAATTATTTAAGTTTCAAAGATATAAGATTAATTTAAACAAGAATTTATAAAATCAACTATAAAATTAAGAGTAAGGAATACAATGTATGTCTTGATTAAACTTATCAGAGAGGAACCTAAGCTTATAGGTTTTCTCATTCAATCTTTTATGTTATTTTTCTGTTTAACTCTAAATCTGATTTCCTTGTGATTACCAATCATTCATATGAATACTATTAATACCCAATGGTCATGCAATATTAATATACTTTTCTCTAAATTAACATCCCCAATGGTCATGCAAGACATCAATTTAAGAAAGTATAAGGAATCTATAAAACTTGTTAATTTAATAACGATTAGAAGAGAAAAATTAATTTGGTCCACCTAATCTTTTGTCTCATTTTATCCTATAGATCTATTAATTAATCAAGATACGATTGCTTGAGGATATAATTAATTAGGATTAAGAGAGAAGTACAATAGGATAAAATCTAATCATAGAACAAAAATCAAATTTAGATTCAAACATCAAAATCCCATAAATTATAAACAATAGTTCTCATAGCCCTAACTATGAACTTAGTTACTCATGCTAAAGAAAAGAACTAAAATAGTCGTAAACAAAGCCATAGAGAAAAATAAACTAGAATGAGATGAGTTCCTGACCTTCAAGTATGATCGCTCGAAGCTTCAAGTCCTACCAAGAGTGTATAAAAAATCCCATGCAAGAGAGACGAAATGAAAGATGCATCCTAGAGCAAAAGTCAAGATATAAAACAATGTCTCTTTCGATGCCTCAGGTCTCCCTTTTTATGTGGTTTGAAAATCCTAAAAACTCTTTAAAATTGGGCTTTTCACAGATGAACATGGCCGTGCAAGGCCTTAAGCACGACCGTGCATAAACTCGAAGTACCCCGTACTTGTTGAAAGGGTCTGAGCGTGCTGACTGCCGCAAAACTCTAATTTTTCGTCAATTTGGGCCAAAAATATACCCAAAGTTCACTTGTGACATCTTTATATTAAACGGTATAATTAATATATAAATTAATGTAAACTCCAAATAAAATAAAGGTCAAATATGAATATATAGGTTATAAAATAGGGCTAAATTACAGACTTATCATAGAGAGACTAGTTTGATCATATAGTGCTTCCTTTTTTTCTCTTCCATTCTACCTTTCTTGTCTTTTATCCTTTATTACACTATGTTTTATGAGATATAGGAATCAAAAAGCATTTAGGTACATAGAGCATTACTTGAATTATACGTGATAATATTTTAAGTTGTCATATCACCTTTTTATGAGTTTTGTCACTATATTTTAAGATCAGCAAGGTACAACAAAATCTCATACAAAAAAGATTAAAGTAGCTGATTAGATGAGTATTTGTATTTTTTGAAAATATTTCTTATTAAAATAACTTTTATATTCATTTGTGAAACAATTTCAAATTTTTATCTCTCAAATTTGTCAAAATATTTTATTCATGTATTTTTATATCTTCTTGACAAATTTAAAAACCGTAGAAGATTATTTAAATCCCTGAAAGATAACTAAAAAAATTTGTTAATAAAAATGATGTTCAGTCAAGTTAGTTCTTCAAGATCCTTTATTTATTTATTTTTTACTTTTGTTTATAATCAAATTTTTATTATTTTAAACTTCTTTTTTCATTTTGCAAGCTATACTATTATTTGGTTAAAGATATAATTAGTATACATTTTTTAGTACATTAATAGTAAGTATTTGTGTTTTTTTTTTGTTGGTGTAGTTGCATGAAGAGGAAGCAGCTCAAAACACAATAAGCAAATCAATTGCTAGAAAAAAAGTTCTTCCTTCATGTTAAAGGCTTTAAAGGAAACATAACTTATATAAAATATTCTTTAAGTTATGATTATGTTCTAGTCAGAACTTAGTTCCAAAGGCACCAAGAACCGTCAGGAGGGAAGAAAGCGGAGGAGAACCCTTCCTTTGAGTCCTATAAGTCACTTTAAGGAGTTTCAGTGGATAGAGACGAGTTTTGCACACGTTCCTTAGTCATTAAGCAAAAGAAGACAAAAGCGAAATCAAAATCAGAACTTGGACCTAAAGACACCAAGAAGCGCTAGTAATCATTGTCAACTACTATAATTTTTCATTTGCTAATGTGTTGAACTGGAAGCACTTTTTCAGTTGTTGTTAATATCTTGGATATAATTATCAAATATATTTTTTAGTACATGATTAATAATAAATATTTATTTATTTTGCTTACTTAACATATTTGAATGAGGTGAATGTAATTTAAAAAATATATTTAATTTGATCTATCATTTTTTTTTC